ACAGAAAGAGGCTAAAAAAGCCTAAAAGTTAAAATTATTAGGAAGAAGCTCAAAAGATGAATATTAGCTAAATTGCAGAAAAAGGCTCATATGAGCAGAAATATACTTAAAAAGTAGCTGAAAAAGCACAAAAAAGCAGAAAGAGCATTAAAAATTACTGGAAAAAAGCTGAAATGAGCAGAAAGGAGCTGAAGGAATCTGAAATTAGAAGCTGAAAAAAATCTGAACTAGAACAAAAGCTGAAATGAGTAAAATGATTTTAAACAGCACAAAGAGTTTTGAGGACAGAGCGCCATTAATTTTCAATGAGAAAAACATGGCTGAAAAAGTTAAATATTACAAAACGTACAAATTTCCCCAAATACCAAAAGCCACAGCAGGAACGTCCTGAATGAGGTGAACATTTTGATACATGAATTTTTGAAGTAGAACAAAAATTGTGGAATGAGTTGCACACCAATAAAGGTACAGAATAAAAGCAGATGTCAGTTGTGTGAATGTTTTCTAAACCTTCATGACTAAACCTTCATGACCTGAGAACGTCTGGAAGCAGAAGTCATCACAACAGTGAATCAGTTTAAACTGTTTGTTTCTTGTTTCCTGTAATAAAGTGCTCATAAAGTGTAGACGGATGGATCTCCAGGACTTTATTCCTCCGTTCTCGGCTCTCGTTCTGAAGACAATCTCCTACCTAATCACTGTGTGTCTGCAGGCCGGGGGCAGTAAAACAAGGGAGCTCGACCCAGATGAAGTACTGGGTCATTGGTGTTAATGGGAGATGCAGAAAACAAAATAAATCACAGACTCGGATCAGCCTGAAAAGAACAAATGATTGTGTTGCTGTGAACCTGGTTAAAGAACATATTCATCTTTATTGATATTTTTTGTGGAACCTGCTGGTTTATTTCAGACCTCTTCAGTACTGAGTAATGTTTTATTTTGTCTTTAAAGGAATATCTTCGTTGTTTCGTAGATGGCTGTGAAAAATTGAAATATTATCCTAACTGTTCTAGATGGCTCTTTGAGCATCTTCAGAACTAAAGAAATGAAATTTGTTCACACACGTTTTTTCCCCAAAATAGTCTTTTATACTTATGTCTTAAAATATCCTTGGCACCATGTCTTATAATGTAATCATCAGCCCAGAAATACCCAAATTTTACAGTAACGAGGTTGTTTCTACAGTAATGGGGTTGTTTCTATAGTAACGAGGTTGTTTCTATAGTAATGGGGTTGTTTCTACAGTAATGGTGGTGTTTCTACAGTAACGAGGTTGTTTCTATAGTAATGGGGTTGTTTCT